TCATACTTTCAAAATTTGGGGAAAAAGAAATTCTTCATTTTGTGTGGAACCAGAAAAAACCCCATATAGCCAAGGAAGTTCTCAATAATAAAACAAAACAGCTGGGCATATCACCCTACCAGACTTTCAGCTGTAATAGAAGGCCTTAGTGGTCAAAACAGCATGTTATTGGCACAAAAATAGAGACATTGATATTTGGAGCTGAAGATAAATCCAAGAGATGGAAGTAACATCTTCAACTTCTTTTTGACAGTTACGGTACTCTGCTGGTCTTGTGTTCCATCCTGCCTTCCTTTTGATACTTTGCAGCCAACGGCTAATAATGTTTGCTTCTTAGCCTCTCAGGCCATTGTTGGTGATCTGCATGCAATTATTGTTAATTTTATGTATTTTTTAATTGACACAACTTCTTTTAAAGCTCAATATTGTTATTCTATTTTAAAAATAGGAACTGAGAAATTAAGTAGTGTAGACAAGGTCTATTTAAGTAAACATTGGAACTCCTATTTGGACCCCGCAAAGTCTGAGGTCTTAACCTCCCTGCTCCTCTCTCCACAGCCTCATCCTCTGAAGGGTGAAGTCGGTGCCACCAGAGTCCCTGAGAGGCTTGTCACCAACTGAGCTGAGTCAGCACGCTGAGAATCAGACAAGGAGCCTGAGGCGGAACCAGAGTCGTATAATGAAAATCCTGGGAGGAAACCATTTCGAGGGAATCTGTGCTTATAATAAGAGCATGCTGGTTGTCCTGTGAGAGCGCCCAGTGCAGGGTGGGGAGAAGCAGTGGGAGGCCAGTGCGTGCTCAGCAAGAGATGACAGCGGCCTTGCAGGATCAAACAGTGAGAGGAGGCTCTGAGCAGGACCGGCTGGCGCCTTCTGCCTAAGTTGAGCTTTCTGTGCTCGCAATGAATTGGCTATGAGGCGTATTAATTTCCCAGTGCCCTTGTAACAAAGTACCATACACTATGTGGCTTAAAACAACAGAAATATATTTTCCCGTAGCTCTGGAGGCTCCAAGTCTGAAGTGTCAATAGGGCCAGGCTTTTCCTCTCTAAAGAATCTGTGGGGGGGGGGGGAGAGAATCCGCCCCACCGCTTTCTCCCAACTGCTGGTGACACTGCACCTCAGCCTCAGCCTTCCCCACTGTGCACCTCTCCCCCTCCTCTCAGGAGAGTGCTAGTGTTGGGGACTGAAGGGCCTGTCCTGCCCCTGCACATGGTCGACCTGTCTTAACTAATGACACGTGCAGTGATCCTATTTCCAATGGGGTGGTGTTCCAAGGTTCCAGGAGGACAGTGGGGCTTCGGCGGCACTGTCTGGCCCAGAGCAAGGGGCAAAGGCAAGTGAGAGAGCAGCAGTGACTCCTGACCTTTGAGCTGATGGTAGAGTAGAGGGACCACTTACTGATATAAAGACTGAGAAAAGAACACATTTGGGGCCAGAGTCAGATTAAGAGCAATGCGTGGCCATGCCAGGCATGAGTAAGAATGAAATACTTAGGTGAGGGAGTCACCACGGCAGCTGAGTGCATGAGTTTGGCATTCACAAAAGAAGTTTGGAGATTCACATTTGGAAGTCCTCAGCCTAAGAGTGCAATTAAAACTAGGGAACTGAAAAAGATCACCCACAATTAGGTTAAGTCCTAGGGTACCTCAGCCCATGAAGGTCTGGAGAAGGAGAAAGTACCAGAAAAGAGGCTGAGAAGTATTAGCTAGAGAATTAAGGAGGAACCAAAGCTTTCTCAGGTTGAAGATTTCAAATGAAGAGGCATGTGGTCTCTCAAGGAAACAGGCATGATCGACTCTGCTGAATACCAGTGAAAGACTGGGTTAAGTAAACACAATTTAGCAGCATGAAAATCGCTGCTGAACTTAAACAGAAATGGTTCCACTGAGAGATAAAAGTTGGATCAGAGCAGGTTAGTGAAGGAATGAGAGGAGATCATGGAAGCCATGGTATGGACAGGAGCATTAGAGGTCCAGTGTCACGGATGACAACTTTAAAGACGGGAGGAAGTCCTGTTTATGCTGCAGCAAAGCCAGGGAAACACTGGGGAATGTCAGAAAGTTGGAATAATTGCTAGAGGTGAGGCACCGCTCAAACTCTAGGGGATGAAGTGGAAAGAACAGCTGGAGAAGCTGGTGTAGGTAAAGGGCCGATTCTTCACCGTGAACGATTACCCCGCAGTCAGAGATAACGCTCATCAGAGCGCCTACAGCCTTGTACATCCTGGCTGTCAGCACTAGGGTGACTGGGCGTTGCTCCTGGGTAGACGGTGCGCTAAGGGCCTGCCAGCGTGCGGCTCATCTCCCACCAGCCTGCGGCTCATCTCCCGCCAGCGTGAGGCTCATCTCCTGCCAGCATGCGGCTCATCTCCTACCAGCATGCGGCTCATCTCCTACCAGCGTGAGGCTCATCTCCCACCAGCGTGCGGCTCATCTCC